CTACTGGAAAACATTGTCTTGTATAAAACAGATAATAAACTGTACATGACACCTCAAAAAATTAAATCCATGTCATTGGAGGTGACATGATTACATTACCTGATACAAAGTATCTGCTATACCAATTCTTAAACATAAATAGCATTTCTGTGTCAGGTCAAATCATGGGAAGGCTTTAAAAAAATTTTTTGCATATGTTTCTATTTGTAAAAATTTGTATCATCTGGCTCACAAAAGGAGGGTTTCCCTTGTTTCTCATTCCTAAATTCTTTGTCTGTATTCCCTGTTAGATTTCATATATATTTCACATGAGTTTCCTTTTTCTTATGCCTGACTTTGGATGGAGCCCATTGAATGTTGGTTTAATTTCCTATTGCTTGTTCTGAAGTGCCCCAGTATTCCTTAAGTGTTGATGTTTTCTCTTTTAGTAGCTTTCTGTTTTGTTGGAGTCAGTTTTCTGCCTTTGCTTGAGGAAACTAAGGCCAATAGTTCTCCCCTACTCTCTTTTTGTTCCCCTCCCCCATTCTATATCTCAGTAGTTTTCTCTTGTACATCTAGGCAAGTTTACCTCTGTTTCTCTCTCTCTTTTGAACTGAGATATAATCATCAAGCAGTATTGTATTAGTTTTAGTTGTAAAATATAATGTTTAGATATATGTACATATTGCAAAATGGCCACCCCCATTAGTTTAGCTAACATTCTACACCACATATAGCTACAAATATTTTTCTTGTGATGAGGACTTTTAAGATTTACTCTTTTCAGCAAGTTCAGAGTAAATAGCACAGTATTGTTAACTGTGGTCACTATGCTGTATATTGTATCTCCAGGACTTATTTATCTTATGACTGGAAGTGTATACCTTTTTTGACCACCATAGCCCACTTCATAGGTGAAGATGGTCAAATTTTCTACTTCCTATTGAGAAGTTTTATCTAAACCATCTAATTTTTGGCATAAATTATTCATAGTATTATTATTTTTATTTCTGTAATGTAGGTAATGTCTTTTCTTTCATTTCTTATTTTATTAAATTCAATCACTTCTCTTTTCATCTTGGTCAGCTTATCAAGGTTTGTCAACTTGGTTGATATTTATAAGATTCAACTTTTAGTATTTTCTGTACTGTTTTTGATTCCTTATTTCATTCATTTGCACGTTATTATTTCTTTCCTCCTGCTTACTTTGGGTTTAGTGTTTTTATTTCTTGGTTTTTTTTAAGGTGAAAGGTTGATTTGAGATATTCCTTATTGTTTGTGTGGGTTTTACAGCTATACATTTCTCTTTAAGCATTGCTTTATCCACATCCCCAAAGTTTTTCTATGTTGTATTTTCATTTGCTATGTTGTATTTTCATTTTCATTCATCATAGTGTTTTACAATTTATGTAATTTTTTTGGACCCATTCGTTATTTAGGATGTGTTGTTTAATTTCCACCCATTGGTTAATTTACCTAATTTCCTTCTGTTATTGATTTCTGATATAATTTAATTGTGATTGGAGAATAAACTTTGTCTTATTTAAATAAATTTAAATTTACTGAGGTTTGTTTTATTATACCTATATAAGTTACTTAGCTATGTTGAGGTAAATATAAAAGAAAGAACTAATTGAGATGAAAATGATTGCATCAGGATTTGTGTGTTTGTGGGTGAGACTGTGTGTGTGTGTGTGTGTGTGTGTGTGTGTGATTATACAATGATAGAGGGAAGGGAATGCTGATTTTCAAAATAAGCTTTGTAGGATTATTTGTGTTTTGTTTTTTCATATGTGTACTCTTATAATTTTGATAAAAAACAAAAACTCAAAAATAAAAAGAAAATAAATCTTCTGTGACAAGGTAGTGTTTTGAAGCATTAAGGCACATCTTTCTCTCACCCAGTATCTGCATCTTGCATATATGCAGTTATGCGCACGTGTGCACGCACGCGCGCGCACACACACACACACACACACTTTTTTCAATTAGGGAAATTAATATATTTGTTCAGTAATTTTAATCTGTAGGTTTTTAAGTATGTCAAGATCAAATTTTATCTTTTCTTAGTAAATCTATATTTTATATTATCATACAACGGTGCAATATATTGTTTTTAATGTTATCTTTTATCTATAAAAACATTTAATTTAAGGGTAACAAAAATTAGAAAAAATATGTAATCCAATTGAATTGTTATATGACTTTTTGGGAAGATACACATGCAATTTAATATTATTTTCATTTTTTGAGTCCAATGTACTGTTTAATGTTGTCAACAACTAAAATCTTATAAATCTACTTTTTAATATTTAGGTTGTGGATTCTAAAAATTGATTTAAAATTAAAATGTGTAATATCTACTTACAGTTCTCTGAAGTGCTACGTATTGCTTAAGATTTTGAATTGTTCTATATTCACTGGGTATTTTAAAGGGAGACTTACTTAGTGTCTTGGAGTGTAATTCAGTCCAACAATGAGAACATAAAAAACCCTGCGGAGACAGCACACTCTGTGAGATATGTGCCCGTGAGGCAGATTGATTACCTGGTTTCCAGTTAATTCCAATGTACTTCACTATATTTACAGCTGGCAGTAAGTTGTCTGGGTTTGTGTATGTGTGCGTGTGTAGATGTAAGTAGCCAGCGGGACCTCTCCCAGTTGACCTTTGTAGTGGGAAAATGTGAAATCGACAATAGGGGCTTGATTTATTTCCAGTTGTAACCCTTCTTGCCTATGGTGCACCAGGGTTGGGTACAATAAAAAGTGCTGGTGGGCAATTGTAGTTGCATTTGATATCCGGTGGTCTGGTTTGTTTACACTCCGTCACCGAAGCCCCTCCTTTCCTGTGGGCCACCCAATGTCTTCTGGGCCAGTATTTAGTGTTATGCCTCCCTTGTGATAGTCACTAGCTACACGTGGACATTTAAGTCAAGCCTTTAATTATTCGAAATTAAATAAAATTAAATTTTTATTTTCTCAGTCAAAATAGCCACCTTTCAAGTTTTCAGTATCATATATGGCTACTGGACATGCAGAACATTTCCATCACCATAGAAGGTTGTATTTGAAAGCACTGGTATAGCTCTTTCCCTATTTTTACCCTTTTCCTGCTACAATGGCCCAGGTTCTGCCCTGCGGCACAGAGTGGTTACCTGCATGGCTCAGCATCCCTCCAGGTGTCTGCAGCTCCCATGCCTGATGCTCTGTATTTTCTCTGAAGCTTTTGAAAATGAGAGAGACTTGTTCCTTCTTTTCTTTTTACACCAACCTTTTTCTACTCTTTAAGGATATGCAATCTTTGGATAAACATTTCACAGTGGTTATTCCAGATTTACAGTCATTCTTACAGGGAGCTAGGAAAGATCCTTCAAAGATTTAAAATAGAGCCCTGGCTGGTGTGGCTCAGTGGATTGAGTGACAACCTGCGAACCCAAGGGTTGCTGGTTCAATTCCCAGTCAGGGCACATGCCTGGGTTGCCCATCAGGTCCCCAGCAGGGGGAGCTCGAGAGACAACCACACATTGATGTTTCTCTCCCTCTCTTCCTCCCTTTCCCACTGTCTAAAAATAAATAAATAAAATCTTTTAAAAAAAAGGATTAAAGTATTTGAATGCTACCTGCCCCTTTTGTAGTCCTAAGCATTCTTGTCTATAAACAGTGGCTGGGGGACTGAAATCTTTTCTTTATCAGAATATGATTTTCTACTTGAGGCATTATTGTGTTTGAATGACAACATCTACAAAAGTACTAAGAATAGCACACATCACAAAACCTTCCAAGTTTCCCCTCTTCATTAGGCACCTCAGTGGTTTCACAATGATAGAACTCATCTATTTTCCTACATGCCACTGAGTTGCTGTGTAAAAGATGTCTTGTATTTTACAGTTTGGTTGAGGGTATAAGACTTACATGGGTGAAGAAATCATGGTACCTCTCAATTTTGCATTCTGAGTAATTACAGGGCTACCTTAGGTAAAAACATATTTTAGGTAACCTGTTTGTGAAGATAAGAGTTAAGAGAAGGCAAGTGCGGTATGACTTCCCATGCACATGCAATAAGCAGTTAGAGAAGGCAGGGTCTGACTCTCAGCTCTGTGAATTCAGCACACAGTATTTTAGAAAATATATATGTTTCTGGAGAGGAATGGCCTCATACTTAAAATAAGAGACAGCTGGGGGTTGAGATCAGTACGTTGAATTATCATTACCAACATCATCAGAATCAACAGCAGCAGCAGACATTCTTAAGTAAAGCCCACAGTCACACTGTGTGTTAAACCTCTCCCATTACTTCAGTCTTCCACTCCTATCATCCCTGACTTTGGGACCCAACACTGGACCCAGTGACAGTCAAGATTCAATACCCACTGACCGTCAGGAGTTAGTCCATCATGTTTACTCGTTATCTCATTCATCCCCAAAGTGGAGCCCTCTCTCACTAGATTCTCCACCCTACTAATTCTGAGCTCCCTCCAGCTGGCTTTCTTTATCTTCCCCTCTGTCCTCTAGGATCTTTATACTTAAATAAGTCCTTGTGTTTTTAAGTCTTCTTTACCTTTCATGGTTTCTTCCCAGCCAGGCTCATTTAGTACCCTTCGCCCCACTCCTCTCATTTTCTGAGTGATTTCAGTATCCATATGGGGCCTGTCTATAAACACCGGCCTCTCAGTTTCTCTGTTTTTATTGACCTTCTCCTCTCTCTGCCTCAGCTTCTTCCATAGGGAACTCATCTTCCATCACGATCAGATGAGCATGATGGTTTGGGAAACATACTTTTATATAGTATTTGACTTTAAAACATGAGTCCGTATCATATAAAAAAACTTGAATAATAAGATAATATTCTTTCAGAATAATATAAGATAATTTTATTTAAAGTATAAACAATCCCATAGTATTTATTGTCATCTGATAATAACATAAGGGCAATCAAAGCCATATGAATAAATCTTGAAGAGCTTCAGTCAAAGGACACCTAAAAAACACAGACTGTCCTGCCTCCTCAACCATTTCTCACTTCATGAGTCATTTCTAGTTGGAGACACTGTAGAGCATTGGAGCAGAGCAATAGTATCTCCTTTTAGCATGATTGCACCCAGTTGTTTTCTTGACTTTGTTTTAGAATCAATCTCTTCTGCATCAACAAATACGAGGTTTATATACTTGTCCAAGCCAATGATACAGCCCTTTATCCACATATTCACTTGCTTATAAAGCCACACCTGAATCCAAGATTTATTTTGCAAGTATCTGAAGATGAGGTTGATGGGCTGCACCATCATTTTCTTCGCTTTTTGGCCTTGGCCACAGCACACCATGGTGGAAACTGACAGAGACCACACTAACGTACACACTACCACAGAAAGCTACTTCCAGAGTTACTTTCCTAATATTTTAAGTTGTTTTCTTCTTGATTCAGTGTTCACTTGGTTGCTCTAAAACTTTGACTATTTTCCAGAGTTCTGATCAACCATTTGGTTGATGTTACCCTCTCCTTTCATTTTGGTGTAGACCCTAAACATCAAAATTGTCACTGTTGCTTCTCCTTGATGCAAACTTGTAATGTCATGCAAACTTGTCGTTCACTTTTAAATGAAGACGCCAGAAGTCACAGAGACTTCTTTTAAAAGTGAGGGCTACCACTATATAATTCTCAAGATGTTATGAAACTCTAAGTATTTGTTTTTCTATGACTCATCCTGACTAGCTCTGTATAATATTAGTCTGATTTAGATTTTGAATCCAGATATATAAAAATCAGAGCTAAAGAATAGATTTAACTTCATTTCACTTATTTTTGAAATTGTGACGCAGTAAAATTCTCTGTGTTGTATGAGGATTGGCAAATTATACAGTTTTATAGCAAATACGAAAATCAATATAGAGAACAGTTTGATCACCTTCCCTAAATTTTTCTTGTGCCTCCATGTAAGTCAGCCTCTTCCCCACCTTCAATTCGTGGCAGACACTGATCTCGTTTTGTTTGTATAATTTAGTCTTTTCACTTGTATATTATACAAATGAAATAATAAGGTATGTTGCATTTTTAGTGTGGTGTCTCTTACTTAGAATAACACATTTGAAATTCATCCATATTATTATGTGTAACAGTAGTTCATTTCATTTTATTGTTAAAAAATATTCTTGTATGGAACTATCAAAGTTTGTTATCCATTTACGATTTGGAGGGAATTAGGTTTGTTTTCATGTTTTGGTAATTATTAATAAGGCCACAATAAACATTTGCATGCAGGTTTTTATATGAATAAGTTTTCATTTCTTTCTGGTAAATACCTAGGATTGGGAGCTCTGGGTCTCATGTTAAGTAAATATTTAATTTTATAAGAAACTCAAAAACTATTTTCCAAAATGACTATAAAATTTTGCATTCCATCAGCAATGTACAAATGTATTAGGTGCTCATATCTTTATCAGCACTTGGTAATGTCATTTAATTAGAAGACATATGGTCCATAGTTTTTATAAATCCCCTTCTTCAAGATTTGAACCTTGACTCACCTACTGAACCCCAAGCACCATGACCAGCTAGGCTTCCATGGCAAGAAAGGTTATTATTGGTAATACATCCACAATGCAATTATTGAATGAATAAAGCATGATAGTACTTTTTATGTATTACTTCTGTAAACCAAAAATAGAAATAAATGTTACAGGTTATTTGAACCCAGGGATTTTGCCTATGCATAGATGTTTCAGACAGGACCAAATTTTAAGGACGTTTTATTGTGGGCAAAATGCCTCCATGTATGTTTTGCATAGGACCAAATGTCCTGCAATGTGTCATTTTTGTTTAAGCCATTGTGATAAGTGTGAAGTGTTATCTCCTTTGATTTCAATTTGCATTTCCTTAATGCTGGATGTTGTTAAAACATCTTTTCATGTAATAATATATTATATGTATAGATTCTGTTATGAATTGTCTTTTTAAAACTTTTACCTAGTTTTCCATTAGATACTTTGTTTTTCATTGATCTTTGTGTGTTGTTTAGATATTTTGAATACAAATTGGATTTTTTTTCTATCAGGAATGTGTGTTTAGCTTGTAATTTTATTTTCTTAACATCTTTCAGAAAACAGATGTTCTTAATTTTACCAAATTACAGTTTAATAATTTTTCATTTTATAGATGATTTTTTGGTATTGCATTTAAGAAATCTTTGATATTTAATAGGGATAACAGATTTTTTCCCTACATTTTCTTATTACAAAGTTTATATGTTTAGATTTTATATTTATGTCTTTGTTCCATTTTGAATTAATAGTCATTTCTAAACTCTATTTATTATTTTTACGATTTAGTTTTGGAGTCATGAAAAATAAACCAAGTCTTATTTTGAAAAATGTACTTTCAATATTACAAAATAATTTTCTTTTTGAAACTCTTTTTAAAAGGTTTTATTTATTAATTTTTAGAGGGAGGGGAGGGAGGCAGAAAGAGAGGGAGAGGAACATTGATGTGAGAGAGAAACATCGACTGGTTGCTTCTGTATGTGCCCTGACCGGCGACCGAAGCTACAATCCAGGCATGTGCCCTGAGCAGGAATCAAACACGCAACCTTCTGCATGGTGGAATGATGCCTAACCGAGCCACACTCATCAGGGCTGAAGCTGTCTTTCTTAAAACTGCTATTTTGCTAAATCCATAGTATTTTGTTAGCTTTCCAGAAGTTATTCATCTTGAATAACTGAGTCTTCGTACCTCTTGAGCAACATCCCCCCATTTCTCCCTCCCCGCAACCCCTGGTAACTGCCATTTTACTCTCAGCTTCCGTGAGTTTGACTATGTTAGATTCCACATATAAGTGAGGTCTTATGGTATTTGTCTTTCTCTGTTTGACTTATTTTGCTTGGCATAATGTCCTTCAGGTCCATCCTTGTTGTTGAAAATGACAGGATATTATTCTATTTTTAAAGCTTAAAAATATTCCATTGCATGTACATATCACATTTTCATCATCCATTCATCCTTTCATGGGCATTTAGGTTATTTTCATATCTTGACTATTATGAATAATGCTGTAATAAATATAATGCAGGTACCTCTTTGAGGTCCTGATTTCATTTCCTTAGGATGAATACTCAGAGGTAAGATTGCTGGGTAATATAATAGTTGTGATAACAATACTATGCTTTATACTTGAAATTTGCTAAGAGGGTAGATCCTAAGTGTTCTCATCACAAAAAATAAGACAAGAAGAAGGTGACTGTGTGAGGTACTGGATATGTTAATTAGCTTGATTGTGGTGCTATTTCATTATGTGTATATATGTATATCAAATAATCACATTGTACATTTTATGTATATACAATAAAATTATCACAATTTTTATAGCAAAATAGTCACAGATGTAATCTATTTTTTGTCTGTCAGGTGAGAGTGTATGACTTTGTCTTTCAAGTTCGAATTAATTTCTACGAATCTTCAGAACTTTACACTGAATATCATTTGTTAAACTCTCCTATATCTCCAAACACAGTACCACTGATTCAACCATGTTATGTTCAAGCTGTTGGTATGTAATATGAAACATTCAAGTGATGTGCATAAACCAAACATTTACACTTAAGTACCTAAAAGTTTAAAAAATCAGAATATGATATTTTTAAAAAATATAAATGTTAGAAAGTAAAACAGCTGTGATTGCTATGTTTCACTTACATTTTGAGTCTGTGAATCTGAATTTTGATAACAGCATGGATATAGTCTCCAATGAGTGACCCTTGCTTTAACAAAAGGATGTAATTTTTTTAAAAAAAGGTCAGTTTAGTACTGTATTCACTGTGTTGACAGTTTTTAAATGATTATATTAATATTTAAATCATTAAAATAAAAACATTGAATATAAAATGAAAGGAAGGAAATTTTACGTTAAAAATATTTTTATCATAGGGATAGGTTACTAAAGGACTAACTACATGTAAAGAAAGATAAGTATATTAAAATTTTGAAATATTAGTTGAATATTTATTTACTTGCTTTCTCCAAATATTCAAGTATAAAACCAATGTACTCCACAAAATGTACTTTTTAAAAGCTCTGGCTTTGCTGTTTATAATATATGCTTAAGTACTGAATATTTTTCAGAAAAGATAAGTTTAGTCTATATTACACTATATTTTGTTTTTATAGTTCTGACATTAAGTTCTCAATAATAAAATAGTGATCAGCTAATAATTACACTTGTACCTAGTAAGAGAAGCCTCATTAAAGTAGCATATACCATATAAAGATTTATTTTACTCCCATTTAAAATACAGAATTAAGAATTTCACAGCTGGTTGGGAGGCTCCATGAAGTTAAATTAATGTTTCATCATTATGGAAAATTGGAAAATGTAGAAACACAGTAAATGTCATCTGCAAGTGAATATTTAGAACACACTATTATTAATATTTTTGTATTTTTCTTTTGTTCTATACTTTGCTTTTATTAGTTTATTTTTTAACTTAGTTGGGGTCTTACTGCCTGTGTTAAGTTGAAATCTGTTCAGTCTTTTTGTTTATTGTTGTTCAATTACAGTTGTCCCCATTTCCCCCCATCACTCTCCCCATCCCTGCCCTACCCACCCCCACCTCCCACATTCAACCCTCCCCCCCATTGTTTTGTTTGTTCTTAATATAGTTCTACTTGGATGTTACAAAACCCTTATTAAATATATAAATTAAGACCGGTAAGTACTGCAGAATATTTCATCCACTGAGTGTCTCTTATAGATTACTTAACCATAATCAGAAGTATTTAGATTCTTTCCTTTTTTCACTTTCTTTTCATTACACACACACACACACATAGTGTTTTTTTCTGTAGATCTATGCCTATGATAAAGTTTAATTTATAAATTCAGCACAGGAGATTAACAACAATAACTAATGATGAAATAGAACAATTGTAACAAAATACTGTAATGAAAGTTATGTGAATGAGGCATTATTAAGTAAAATTAGGAGTTAGGTGAACACAAGCAATGTGACACTGTGACAGTCAATCTGCTGATCAAGATGGCTACTTAGTGACTAGCAGGCTTGGAGAGGATACAGCATGGAGATGCTGGACAAAGGGATGATTCATGTCTCGGGAAGAATGGAATGGGAGGCCACAGAATTTTATCACACAGCTCACAATGTGCAATTTGAAACTTACGAATTATTTAAACAGATTAGAAAGGCAGGAATAAACTATTTTTTTTTCTACAGGTGATTGTCTATGTAGACAATCTAAAAGAATTTATTAAAAAATCTCTTGGAACTCTATTAAGGTTTCAGGATACAAGGTTAATATCCAAAAGTCAATTGCTTTCCTAGAGTCTAGCAATGAACAAATGGATTTCGAAATTAAATACAAAATACCATTTACATTAGCAGCCTCCAAAATGAGGCACTTAGTTAACAAAGTATTTACAAGACCTATATGAAGAAACTTATGAAACTCTAATGAAAGGAATCAAAGAAGAATTAAATAAATGAAGATGTGAAGTGATATTTCATGTTCATTTAGGGGAAGATACTGTTGTCAAGATGGCAGGTCTTTCCAACTTGATCTAGAGATTTAAGTCAATCCCAATTAGATTCTCAGCAAGTTATTTTGTGGATATTGACAGACTGATTCAAAGTTTATATGGAAAGACAAAAGACCCACACCAGCCAATACATGTTTGAAGAAGAACAAAGTGGGAGAGCTTACACTCTCCAACTTTAAGGTTTACTCCAAAGGTACAGTAACCAAAAGAGTGGTATTGGCAAAAATAGACAAATAGATCAACAGAATAGAAAAGACAGCCCAGAAACAGACCCACAGAAATGTAGTCAACTGATCTTGTTTTTTTCCCCCTCACCTGAGGAGATGCTCATTGATTTTTAGAGGGGAGGAGAGGGAAGGAGAAAGGGAGGGAAACATCGATTGGCTACTCACCCTCATATGCATCCTGACTTGGGACTGAACCCACAGCCTGGGTACATGCCCTGCCTGACCAGGAGTCAAACCCGCAACCCTACAGTCCACAGGACAGCGCTCCAACCGACTGAGCCACACCGGCCACAGCCAGTTGACTGATCTTTGATAGAGTAGTATAGACAGTACAATTCAGAAAAAGGTCTTTTCAAAATTTGGAGCTGAACAACTGGATATCAAAAATAACAAATAAATAAATAAATAAGAATCTAGATTCTAGGCACAGTCCTTAAAATCTTTACAAAAATAAGCTCAAAATGCATCATAGGCCCAAATATAAAATTCAAAACTATAAAACTCCTAGAAGGTAACATAGGAAAAATCTAGATGACTGGATTTAGCAGTGGCATTTTAGATATAGCAGCAACAAAAGCAAGATCCTTGAAAGAAAGAATTGATAAGCAGGACTTTATTCAAATAAAAAAACATCTGCTTTGCAAAAGACACTGTCAAGTGCCAAAAAGACAAGCCAGTGGCTGAGAGAAAATATTTGCAAAAGACATATCTGAGAAAGAACTGCTCTCCAAAAATACAGAGATAATTCAAGAATTGAAGGAGAAAACAAACCAATTAAATCATGGGTCAAACATCTGAATATACACCTCACCAAAGGAGATATACAAATGACAAATGAGCATATAAAAATACTTCACATTGTCATCAGGAAGATGCAAATTAAAACAACAATAAGATACCACTGCATTCTGATAAGAATGGCCAAAATGCAGAACACTGCCAACACTAAATGCTGGAGAAGATGTGGCACGAGGAACTGGTGGGAACGCAATTGCTAGTGAGGTTACATTGCTGATGCAAATGATAAATGATTTGCTATGTTGGAAGAGGGCATTTGGTGTTTCTGAACAAACTCTTACCATATGGTCCCTCAAATCATGCTCCCTGGTATTTTCCCAAAGGAGTTGAGAACTTATATCCACACAAAAACCTGTACACAAATGTTTCTCGAAGATTTGTTTATAATTGCTAAATCTTGGAAGCAACCAAGATGTCCTTCAGGAGATGAATAGATGGACTTTGTTACACTCTGACAGTGGATTGTTATTCAGCACTAAAAAGAAATGAGCCATCAAGTCATTGATGCAGATCCCATGGACCTTAAATTTGCAATACTAAGTAGAAGAATCCAGCCTGAAAAGGCTGCATACTGTATCATTTCAACTGTGTGACATTCTGGAAAAGACAAAACTATGGAGACAGTAAAAAGATCAGTGGCTTCCAGTGGATGTGGGGCTAGAGTTAGGCAGTCCACAGATTTCTAGGGCAGAGATTTGCCTCTGTATGATACTACAATGGTGCCTGTATAACATTATATGTTTGTTCGAACCCATAGAATGGACACCAGTAACAAGGGATCCCTAATGTAAACAGTGGACTTTGCATTATTGATGTGTCATTGTAGACTCATCAGGTTGTAATAAATGTACCACTGTGGTGGAAAATGTTGAGCATGGAAGAGACTATGCACATTATGTGGGCAGGGGGTATATGGGAAATCTCTATATCCTACTGCTCAGTATTTCTGTGAATCTGTGATTGCTCTAAAAATAAATTTGTTAAAAAGATTATTTGCTTTTCATTAATGGCTAGTGAAGTTGAGCATCTTTTCATATATCTGTTGGCCATTTGTATGTCTTCTTGGGAGAAGTTTCTGTCCAGGTCCTCTGCTCATTTTCTAATTGGGTCTTTCTTTCTTTCTTTCTTTCTTTCTTTCTTTCTTTCTTTCTTTCTTTCTTTCTTTCTTTCTTTCTTTCTTTCTTTCTTTCTTTCTTTCTTTCTTTCTTTCTTTCTTTTTCTTTCTTTCTTTCTTTCTTTCTTTCTTTCTTTCTTTCTTTCCTTTCTTCTTTTCTTTCTTTCTTTCCTTTCTTTCTTTCCCTTCCTTCCTTCCTTCCTTTCTTTCTCTTTCTTTCCCTTCCTTCCTTCCTTCCTTCCTTCCTTCCTTCCTTCCTTCCTTCCTTCCTTCCTTCCTTCCTTCCTTCCTTCCTTCCTTCCTTCCTTTCTTTCTTTTGCTGTTGAGTTATATGAGTTCTTTATGCATTTTGGATATTAACTCCTTATGGGAGCTATTGTTTGCAAATCACCGTTTTCCATTTGGTTGGTTGCTTTTTTGTTTTGTTGGCAATTTCTTTTGCTATGCAGAAACTTCTTAGTTTGATACAAGTTTTGCTTTTACTTCCCTTGCCTTTGAGGTACAATTAATAAAATCCTGAAATGAAGATCCATAAGTTTGGTACTTAACGTTTTCTTCTATGTATTTTATTGTTTCAGGTCTTATATTGAGGTCTTTGATACACTTTGAGTTAATTTTTGCCTGTGGTGACAGATAGCAGTCTAGTTTCATTGTCTTGCATGTGGCTTTCCAATTTTCCCAGCACCATTTATTGAAGAGGCTTTCTTTTCTCCATTGTATGTTTTTGGCTCCTTTTTGAAAATTATTTGCTTAATATATATGTGGGCTTATTTCTGGGCTCTCAGTTCTGTTTCATTGGTCTGTGTGCTTGTTTTTCTGCCAACACCATGCAGAAAAGTTTTAATTATTGTCACTTTGTAGCATAATTGGAAGTCAGGGAGTATGAAACCTTCAGTTTTGTTCTTTTTTCTCAGGATTGCTTTGGCTATTTGGGGTCTTTTGTAGTTCATACAAAACTGATGAATTTTTTTTGTTCTCTTTCTTTTCTATAAATACCATGGGGACTTTGGCATGGTGGGGTTTGCATTAAATCTGGATATTGCAAGTCAAAACCACAATAAGATACTGCCTCACACCTGATAGAATGGCTGTTATCAACAAGAAAAGTAAAAAGTTTTGGAGAGGTTGAAGAGGAAAAAAAACCCTCATTCATTGCTGGTAGGAATGTAAACTGGTACAGCCACTATGGAAAACAGTATGGAGGTTCCTCAAAAAATTAAGAATAGAATTACCATATGACCCAGCAACCCGTCTTCTGGATATCTACCCCAAAATTTGAAAATGTTTATTCACATAGCTATATGCATCCCTATGTTGATTGAAGCATTACTCATGGTGGCTCAGACATGGAAACAATCAAAATGTCTTTTGATAGATGACTGGATAAAGAAGATGTGATACATATATACAATGGAATACTACCCAGCCATAAGAAAGCATGAAATACTGCCATTTGTGACAACATGAATGGATCTTGAGAATATCATGCTAAGCAAAATAAGTCAGACAGAAAAAATCAAGAACCATATGATTTCACTCATATGTTGGAAATAAAACTGAAAGCAACAAATGAACAAAAAAGAAAAACAAACAAAAGCTCATACACAGACAACAATATGTTGGTTACCAGAGGGAAAAGGCGGGTGTGTGGTAGTAAAGGGTAGAGGAGATCAAATATATGGTGACAGAAGAAGTTTTGACTTTGGGTGGTGGGCTCACAATGCAATATACAGATGATGTATTAATAGAATTGTACACTTGAAACGCATATAATTTTATTAACCAATGTCACCCCAATAAATTTAATAATTTCTTTAAAGATAGGATTTTTCAGCAGATAATATCTTCTCTCGTATTTTTACAGATTCCACCAATTTCACCCTTTACTAAAATAGCTATATTCTTTTCTCATGCATGAATGTTAGGATAAGCAATCTATGTATTTCCTTTATTCCCATAATTTTTCCTTCTATGTTTCTTTTCACTTCTTTACTGCATTGGTCAAACTGTAGTATGGAGATCATTTTATCTTTGTTTACTTTTTTCTCAGCTCGATATTTCTCATATTTTTATATATCTTTTTGTCTCAAGAGTAGTTTTTAAATTTTACTTGTAATTAATTACCATTAAAAATCCAAATTGGAATTTTGTAGGTGTGCTAAACCAAGATATTCTAAAAATGTTTAAAATTTAATTTTTGTTTTGCTGTGGATATAAAAATAGAAAATAATTATTTTATTGTTTCATGTTGAAAACTATGGTAAGAACTATCTCTGAGCTTTTATCTATTTCTATTTTATCAATTTATTTATTTTTCTCATAGTGTTGCAAGCACCATTGAAATTATCCAGCAATGAATTTATATTCGATGTCCTGCCACATACTGTGAATCGCATGGAAAAGATCACAAAAGCAAAGGTCTGTATAGAGAATTGGTGCAGTTTACAACTGTTTTTCTGATTATGGTTTTTAGTTGATTGAGTTATTGTGAAATGTATGTTATAAGAAGTCTTTTATTTTTAGAGAACTTGCATATACATATATATAATTTGCATACACATATATTTCTCAGAAGTATGTACAGACAGGGTGGGGCAAAAATAGGTTTACAGTTGTTTGAATGAATTCAATACAATAATGAATAAGTAATAATACAAGAATAAACTCTGTCTTTTGCATACTCACAACTATAAACCTACTTTTGCTCCACCCTGTATGTTATATATATAAAACTCAGATGTCTCAGAAGTAATTGTCCAAGTATGCCAACACATATAAAGCCATTTATTTTATATGTGTATATATTTAATAGGACTATTTAAAATGTGTTGAATAGAATTAAATTTTGCCTCCCTCCTTGTACAAATGGAAACTATGATTAAAATTAATGTGAAGTATGTTCCATATAGATAAGGAAATGTGGGGCGAGGCAATGATAACAAATGAAAAAGTCTAGATATGTAATAAAGTGACTTTTATGATAATCTACTCTTTTTTTCTTAATAGATTATTTTTTGCCTTTCTTTATGAATCTATCTAGAAAATTAGAGAATGTATATGAAGGAAGCTTATGTATACATTATAGAAATTTGTATTTGTAGTTTTCCTTTTTTGTATTATATATTGCTTTTCCTACAATAAATTTTGAGCCTTTATAGCTTGAAGAAAAATTATCTGAGGAAAGCATTTAACATTGCATCCATAAAATAATAGCTGAGGGTATATGCAGTTATAGTTAGAGAACAGGAAAGGTTCTCTTCTAAAATTAAAATGTGACTTTTTAAAGCATATGATGTCAGTAAGACTTCTAACTGTAATATAAATTCAAGGATGCAAAAGACCATGTATGTGGGGCTAGAAAGGAAGATTAAGTGAACTGAATTGGCTTGAATTCCAGAGAAAAACCATCCCTTCATAAATGCAAGATTATTTTATATCATTTTTATATAATTGCAGTTTTATTCACTTGGTGTGATAAAATACAATCTAGACAAAGAGAGTCTTCTCTCTCAACTCGCAAAGGACTCACACTGGCCTCACAGAGAAGGAACCGTGACTCTAATAATACTACTTGGATTTGGCAGGAATGGTATTTACAGTCAGTCACAATAAAATATATAATACAGCGAAGTCAAGATGTTTATGTAGCAAAATTAAAATATCATATAGAACATTATATGTAAAATGACAAGTATGCTACCTACAATGTGTATATGAAGTTAGTTAAGTTGATGGAAGGGTTGGGAATGGTAGAAGGAAGAGGAGTGAAACCCATCTTTCATAGTGGCTAATGAAAGGGAATTGTCTAAAGTAGACAGAAAAAGAACTGAAGTTATAAATACACTGTTCAAAGTTGCCAGGTGACTAATGGAAGAATTAAAATAATACAAATATCCAAAATTGGAAGGTGGAGAGAGAGGCAGAGGTAGTGCAAATGAGCTAAAACCTCATCGTTGCTGGTAGGTGATCAAGGCATGATATCTGAGTCTGATAAATCATGAAATAGCCATGTGGTAGTCAAAATTATGTCCTCCAAATTTGTTTCATTATTAATCCCCAGTATTTGTGAATACACTACCTTGTTTTGCAAAAGATACTTTGCTGACATGTAATGTGATTAAGATTAAGGACCCTGAGCAAGGGAGGTTATCCTAGAATACCTAGGTGGTCCCAATCTTCTTACATGAGTGGTTAAAAACAGAGAAGCTTTTCTAGCTGTTAACAGCAGGAAATGTGATGATAGAAGAAGGACTGAGAAATGAGATGTTGCTAGATTTGAAGATAGTGGAAGGAGGCCACCAGCCAAAGAATGTGTCTGATGTCTAGAAACCAGGAATGACAAGGAAAGAGATGCTTTCGTAGCACCTCCAGAAAGCATCATAGTTTTTTTCCTAACACCTCCCATCTAACACCATCTAACACCACTTATATTAATCTAGTGATATCTGTGTTGAATGTCTAACCTACAACACTGTAATATTAATTAATTTGTGCTGTTCGAAACCACTGTGTGGTGATTTGTTATGGCAGCCATATTAGCATCACATTTAGAATAAGGTATAGCTACTAGAGAAAATCCAAATCAGAATTGGGTACAGTTGGTTGCTTCTGGGAAGCAAAACTATTGAGAAGGAGGGGTTGAATAGGACAGCAGTTTTTTTTATAAGCATTTTTTAGCTGTTTGTGTGACCTATGCACAGTATTATTTTAATAAAATTATAAAGAAAAATTATACAACACATACTAAACAAACTAAACAATATTTTTCTATAGCTGACTGTATTGGTTCTATTCTTAGGATAGGATATGGAAAGTGGATAGTATTTTAGAGATTTCATACCATTTCCTTAATTTCAAAATGAGAAAAATGAGTCATGCAAATAGCTAGTATGATTTCATGCCCTCTTTCTCTTTTAAAAGATGTTGTTTTCTTTATAAGGTACAAATGAACTTTGTTATACACATATTAGAACTAAATATCTGTTTAAGTACTAAGACACATCCAGAGTAAAATTAACTCGTTTAATTTTAAACATTTTAAAACCATCATGCTTTAGAAAGAAACGAAGTACATTATTTTGTTGTGGTTACAATTGTATGGGCCATTCTATACTCTTCAAAAATTTTGAAGAGTATCGTTAATTTAAAAAAAATGGTTTAAGGTTTTACTTTAATAATATGTTGCATTGGAAAGATGAGTCTGCACACAAGTCATCCCAATAGCTCCCAGATTTATCAAAACATTAGAAAGACAGTGCTGAGAGGTACTTCTCTCAGACCTTTTTGGAATGTTAACAACTTACATAGCCATAGAATATTTTTTAAAACTAAAAAATTAACAGTGGTATAATATTAACTAAACAACACATTCTATTTGGATTTCAGCAATATTTTTACTGATGTCCTTTTACCTCCCCACAGTTCGAGCCAGGATTCTGTATTTCATTGAGTTATTTCGGATATGTGACAGTCTTGCTGAATTTTTTATGACCGTAACAGTTTTAAAGAGTACTGGTCTGGCATATTTTTCAGGATGTTCTTTTTTTTTCTTTCTTCCTGTTCTTTATTTTAACTATTACTAGTTTGTGTCTAACTTATCTTTGGTGCTGTTGTTGCATCTGCTTTTTTCTTCGGTGGACACATAAAAACCATTCTCCCAAATTACACCACCTAACCTGAAATATGGGTAATCTTTGGAGCAGTCAGTCAATTCATTTCTTGTTTTAAAATCAGGATACAATTCACATGGCATACAAGTTGTCATTTTAAAGTGTTCAATTCAGTGGCTTTTAATACAGGGTCTGGCAGAAGTCACGCCTGCTTGAGTGTGGTTGGTAGGGCGATAATATGGGTGCAATAATTCATAGTTTTAATTTGAACATTTCGCCTAAAATGTCATCTGGTGTGCTTGAGTGTGATATTGTTGTGTCACAGGATTACATGCTTCTGATTTTGTAATAACAGAGTTTGTAATAAAAAAGGGGCGTGATTTGTGCCGGACCCTGTATATTCCATACGTTGTACCACCACGACCACTCTCTCATTTCAGAACATTTTCATCATCCCCAAAGAAACTCCATGCCTTTCAGGTGGTACATTTTCAATTCTCTTGTGTGTACACATGGAGTGGATGTGCTGGGTCATGTGGCCATACGGTGCTTAACTTTTTGAGAAATCACCAAAATATTTTCCAGTGAATTTATTTTCAGTAGTCGCTTACCCTTATACCCTTCATTGTTCAGTTCTCTACAAATACCCATCCTTCTCTGGTTGGTTGTATCAGTTGAGAGGTTCTGTGAGAGATGGGAAGAGGGAGCAATATGTCTGCCCTGTGGGATGAAGTGCTACTTGAATTAGCAAAATAGCTGCTTTTTATTTTGTTCAGTTTGTCTGCAACTTGTCAGGAAATATTTACTGAAAGACCCTCATATTCCCAGAATGGTGGTGTGCAGATTCATTTGTGGTTTCTGTGTCTGTCCTGCCTTCACCTTGATAAATGGCCATATTCTGGTATTCGTTCTCTCTGATGATGAGGACACCACAGCTTGTTAGATGCACTCCTAGGGCAGGGCACCATGCTAAGAGGTTTATATCTTATTTAATGTCATCCTCACAATACATTTTTGAAAGGGATATTTAAATCCCGTTTCCCTTGCCCAGACCAACGTTTAAGTCGGTGAAGAAATCCTACATGGCCCGAGGTTGACAGGACAGACGGAGGGTGCTGCTACGGGGCCTCCCGTTCCCAGGAGACGTTAACACATGTCTACTCAAATGTGGTTCTTTTGATTCCAGTAGGACAAACTTGGTATTTGAAAACCAAGAGTGTGCCTCTATCAAATAAAAAGAGAATAAGAAGAAGGAGTTAGACAAAACCACCATGTAGTTTCAAACTGTATACTTAAGAAAATATATGAGGGGGAAAATGACCACAAAAGCAGCATGCAGTCACCTTCTCAGTTCTTTCATATTTAAGTGTAATATTTATTATAAGTTGCATTGGGAAGATTATGTCTTATTTTCACTTTAGTATGACATGTTCATGTTATCCCTTGCACATATGCATCATAAACCTCGAAAAAGGTACACTGATCATGATCGACTTTTAGATCCCCAAGATAAAAAGTCTTTCCTCTCCAGGATTCATCACAGTTGTAGCTTTTCAAATGTGGAAACTGTTTTGTGCCTCAGCGGCTTTTCCCTGCTGCTTTTGTTGCCCACGGAAATCCCTCATTGCTCAGGCAACAGTGGTATATGCGGTAACAGCCTTTCCTTAGGTGAAAGCATGGCAACTGGGAGCACAGTACCACGCAGCTATACTTTATGAAATATTTTAGGTTTTCCAAAACTGCTTATAGATTTTAATACTATTATAGGAGCTTTAGAAAGATATGTCTTATGCAGGAGCATGAAAAGGCAATTCACGAGATAAGAAATAGAAATGGACAATAGGTAAAGAAAAGTGTGTTCAACCTCTAGTTATCAAAAAATGTAAACTTAAATGAGCTCTGAGTTCTGTTTCTTTATTTATTATTAAACAGGTGCATGCATATGGTACAAAATCCTGGAATACAAACACTGGTACAGCCACTACAGAAAACAGTTTGTAGGCTCCTCAACTGGCTTGACTTTGTGCATAAGTCCATCAAGTTTGTATGGTAATGCCAACTAAATTTGATATTACAAATTGCTTCTTGTATGCTTTGTGTGTTAACAGGAGCTTGTCTTTCGTAATTTGTCAAGAAAAACTGTGGATTGGGCTTTGGATATTAGGGAAACTGGCAACCTTTTCAAAGATGGCACATTCAAATTTAGTGAGCTGAGTGGGACTCTACAACCATATGAAAAGTGTACTGTTTCCATAATGTTTTGTCCACGTAAGTAGCTGTTCCTCTGTTATTTCAGTTTATCTTCCATATATTGTTTCATCATGTGTACAAGAGGTTAATGTGTTATATGTTCTTAAAACAGTTTTAAGAATTTTCTTACCAGAATTTTGTGGTAACCATCCTTAGTAAATGGCTCCCCTGCTGTGCATGCCATTGTAATCTTTCTCACATCAAATAGGGCTGATATATAACCCATGGGATATTATGGATGTGATGCCGTGGGCATTCCAAGGCTGGCTGAGAAAAGGTGTTGCATCTTTTGGCTTGTACTTCTGGATTTCTTGCTTTGGGGAAAGCTGACCAGCATCTCTATTTATATTTCCACTTCAATTCTGGTGATTTTTTTTTAAATTACAGTAATTTTTATTATATCTTTCTATAATTGGTGTGACAAATTTTCTCTCATTAAATATCTATTACAAAAATTCATGGCAATTCTTACACATTTACTTTTCAAAAATGAACTATAGTCTATTTTTCTTCCAGTTTTTAGAAAAAGGCACATAATTGAGTTTTTACTTTAGAGAATAGCATTTTTTTCAGTAATTAAAGTTTTATTTTATATGCATCATTATTGCTAATGAGATTTTTCCCCATTATTCTTTTAAATTAACTATCACTGTATAAAAAGAATATATTTATATTTTATCTGGCACTTTCATATGGATCTTCTCTGGTTAAATCTGGAAGTTTTGCAAATATTATTTTACATTCTTCTCTAAGTAAATAATTTATAACATAAAAGCATGGTAACTAATAAAGTTGTCTATTTATAATATATCTTTCTTCTTCCTCTTCCCCCTCTCCTCCTACTCCATCTCCTACCCTGAATCTGTTAATACAATATTACTACAATTATATTACATTTACATTAAAATTGTATTGTAGTTATTACTGTAATCTGTCTGAATGTGTTATTATAATGGCAATTTGTTAAAATTTTTTTGGTTCCAGTAGTTTTGCTTTGTATATTTAGATGTCATGAAAGCTTTGTCTAATGTGTCTTTTATAAATAAGTATATGCATTTAAAACTGTTCTTTTTTCCTACAAAATGCTTTTTTCTTAAACGTTGTTTGTGTGATACATTGCCATTTTGTCTTCCTCTTTTCTGTCTTTGGCTGATATATTACTATATTTTCAATCTGTGTCTTATAAATGTAGAGTAAGTGTTGTAAATCAAAGGACCTTGCTTTTCTTTTTGAGCAAGACTGAAATGTAATTTTTAGGAGGGGAATTGAACTTATTTATATTTCATGTTATAATATATATATTTATTCATTTTAATGCAATTTTATTTATATTTTCTTATTTTTTTAATTTTATGTTTTGATCAAGTTTTCCATACTATACCTCCTATTTCTATTCTATATGTGATTCTATTTAAACCTTTAAAAATACCTATTTCAAAATATATTTTCCTATCAGCTCTGAGATGAAATGGTATCAATGAACTTAGAAAATAAAAGTCATAATATGAGTTTCTTTCTACTTTTACTATCTCAAGAATTTGCTGAAATAATTTGGAATTTTATTTCTGGCTAGTGTGTTTTGTAAAATCATACCATGTGTATCCTCTTGTGACTGGCTTTTTTCACATAGCATAATAGTTTCCAGGTTCATCTATGTTGTAGCATGAATCAGTATTTCTATCCTTTTTATTGCTAAATAATTGTATGGCTATATCACATATTGTCTATTTGTAAACAGTCAGTGTCCAGTTAATGGGCATTTGGATTGCTTCTACTTTTTGTCTATTATGAATAGCATGGTTATGCACATTCATGTATAGTTTTATGTGGACGCATGTTTTCACTTGGACATATGTCAATGAGTGACATTGTTGAGTCACAGGATAATTTGATATTTGACATTTTAAGAAACTGCCAAACTGTTGTACAAAGCAACTGTAACAATTTAAAATTCCACCAGCCACGATTGATTTTTATCAATTTTTGCCTACGTTGTCATTGCTTTCATGGAGGAGTGGATTTTCAGAGGTCCCTGTTGCACCGTTGCACCGTTCCTCTAACATCACCTGAGCACATTTAACATATACTTGTATCTTACTTTAGGTATTTGAGTATTTTGGTCCTTATCTTCCTTGTTAAAAATGGAAGCATTCGTTTTTTTCTAAAGTATCTTTTTAAAAATTATGGGCTGATTCAGTCTGTGACTAGTAAGAAGGTTGAATCAGCAATTAAAAATTTCTCAACAAATAGCAGCCCAGAACCAGATGGCTTCACTGGAGAATTCTACCAAATCTTTTAAAGAAGTAATAACAGCCCTTCTCAAATTCTTCTAAAAAATGACGAGGTGGAGGGAACACTTTCAAACTCTTTTTTATGAGGATAGCATTACCTTGGTACCAACGCTGGACAAAGAGACAATATGAAAATAAACTAAGGCCAAAATCCTCAACAAAATACTAGCAAAATGAAAAATAAAATAGCAAGCTGAACCCAACAGCACATGAAAGGATCGTACCCTGGCTAGAACCTGTTCAACTGGTCACTGAGCAGGGCTGCCTTGTACTCTGAGGGCTTTGAAGAGTTTCTGTGAGGTGGCTTTTACTTTTCAGTCGGCCCTTGTTGACCTTTCCTTGGACAGCCACAGGGATGGAGGCTGGGAGGTGATTGTATATGTGACTCAGACTGGTCTCTGAGTAAATAAATCTCCAGTTCCTTCTGAATCTGAATCACTACTCTTGAATGTAATTTGTGTGCCTAGACCCTCGCCCCCCCCTTGGATAAGCTTGTTTTTGTTCTCATGTAAATAGCCTCGGTGTTTCCCCCAGCCTGACACCCAGGGTGCTGTACCTTAGAACATTCTCAGCATGAGGATCCCTGCTGCATAAATACACAGATTCTTCCAGGTAATGAGCTTCAGGAAGCGAGAGTATTGACAATTAGCTTCATAAGCAGACCGGAACAAAGGAGCAGCAGGAAGGTGCTTGAAAAAATATCAGCTATGAAGATTTTTTTTTCCTATTTTTGAGAAACTCTGTATTGGTATCTGTGTCTAATTTAAAGTGTGTGCTTATTAGTTACCGCATGTTAGTTTTTATACCAAATGCCATTTCCAAACTATTTTTTTTTCTGTTTAAAAGGTGTTACGGTAACTTACCTGTTATTCTTCCTAATTATTCTTACTTAGGAATCAACATTAGGATTGCATCCTTTTGTTTACACTGTTTGGGCCCATCCAGATTCTCATGACTGGGCTTTTCTTTCCATTTCTCAGTTACGGGTGTTGATTCCTGATAGCTTATGTCTGTCCCATTGGCGGGGGTTGGGTGGGGGAGAAGACATCTCATGCAAAGATGCCTAGGAGTTTAAGCTTCACCAACACCACTGCCTCAGGTGGCCCAACCCACTCCCTCCTGTGGGACAATCCCTTTGGTCAAGTCACATCCCACATTCTAAAACCACAGCTATTCATCGCTTCTGTTCTGCTCCTCTCTTTACCTGCAGCCCCCCCCCCCGCCCCCGCCTCCTTCCAGAGCACATCATCAGTAAATCATTTGCATCAGAATTTCTGGGACACTACTGTGTTTTATACGTGCGGCAATATATAAAATACCTACGACTAGCTATGTGATCAATAGAAAAGGCAGGATAAGAACCTATGCTAGCTTTTAAGGTTTTTAGAGTTCCTTGAGCTATGTGTTTTCTCAGTAATATTCTGTTGGCAGTGCATTGAATTAACTTGATGTCTTTGTGTCTGTTAGCATGGCATTGTATAATTGCTTTAGTTTGATGTGTGAGAAAAAGTACATACGATGCTGTGATTAGTAGCTTAAAAAATATTTCAGCTGTTATTACCTCTGCTTCAAACTCTGAAAATATGATAGAAAACATCAAATATTCTCTGCATTCTGAAGTATATTTTGTTAAAATAATTAGTTTTCACTACATATTTCTGTGTATTTCTCCTCAGTTGCTACTGTGCCTGGTCCTGAAAGAAGTAGCTAGTTCAGCTCATGGTCCGTATTTCTATGCAGAGCTTCTCCTTTGTGTCCCTATCAGCATTTATAGCCAGATGAAATGGACTGGACAGTTTAGAAGGAAATAAAAAACACTTCCATTTGACTTTCCTTTCAATATGGAACTGAGACCAAGCAGTCACATCCAGGGTTCCCTCCTTAGGATCTCAATGTTCCTGTGAAAAAATTAATTACACACGCCTTTTACACATTTATATAATTTACATCTCAGAGGAGAGAGAAGGCATGCCTGCACTTAAAAAAAGTGCCATTGACTCCCCAGTAGTCTTAGGTTACACAGTGAAGCCCCTTCTCTATGACTCCAGAAACCTTTAGCAGGTCAGAACAAAATAATCTCAAAATAGCCCATCCAAAATTCAGAATTTAATAAGTCTTAAAACCTTGCCTAACTCTAAAATTAATGTTATTTTTCCCCCAGATATTTTTAACAGTATCAGATTCATTAAATGAAACTATCTTTATAGATTTATAATGATTTAAATCAGAGGGTTTCCAACTCCCAGGCAATGGACAGGTACCAGGCCACACAGCAGGAGGTGAGCGACAGGTGAGAGAGCAAAGCTTCAGCTGCTCCCAAAGTGCTCGCGGTACCTCCTGAGCTCCGCCTCCTGTCAGATCAGTAGTGGCATTAGATTCTCACAGGAGCATGGCCCCTACGGTGAACTGCATGTGCGAGGGACCTAGGCTGCGCACTCCTGAGAATGCAATGCCTGATGCTCTGAGGTGGAGCTGAGGCGGTGATGCTAGCGCTGGGGAGTGGCTGCAAATACAGAGTATCATTAGCAGAGAGGTCTGACTGCACAGAGGCCATAATAAATCAGTTGCTTGCAGACTCATATCAAAACCCTATCAGTGAGTGGCAAGTGACAATTAAGCTGCACCTGGTGGCAGGCTAAAAAGCCACCTACACTCACCCCCGCCCTCGAGTGTGGAAAAATTGTCTTCCACAAAACCAGTTCCCGGTGGCCAAAAGGTTGGTGACTGCTGCTTTAAGTTAATTGTTATAACTTATCAGCTCAAGCTGCAGATACAATCTCTTATATTTTCACATAGTCTTTCTAGTAGTCATCTGTCATTAGTAGCAGGAAGTCCCTGTTCCCTGCCCTCTTCAGCTAGCTCCCATTTTCCAAGGATCTCAGGCTATTTGAACATGTAAAGGGCTTTTTTGAACAAGCGAAGGCATCCAGTACAGCGAAAACTAGTGCATCTGACCAGTTCAATGAATCCATAGCTCTTATTTATGGTTCACAGTGATGCCACTTTTGAACATGGCTCTGTATCATCCAGAGAACTCTCCTCCTCTGCCCTGGTGATACCCTTAATGGCCCTGATCCCTGCCAGGCCACTCTGGTGTCCAGTTCTTGAATTCTAAGGTAATACATTGAATTCATACTTCCCAGATCACATTTTCTTCCTTCGAGACACTGTATTTGGGGATTTGGTTGGAAAGGGCACTGGCAACTTGCTGTGATGGAACCTGTCCTCCAGGACTGGCCTGCAGCCTCCTAGGCTGATCCCTTTTCTCCGACAGAGACTGCACTTCCACATAGTAAGTTGCTATGTGGGAATCACCTGTCTTTTCCTGCCAGGTGAAATTAGCCAGTCGGCCTTGTCAGCCTTTCATAAACTCAGATATCTGGGAGAAAGTACATTCCTTTCCTCTCATCTCATAACGATGATCTGATCTCATTTTCATACTGCGTGTATTAAGGGGATGCGTAGCTCCTATTAAGGCACAGAAAACAATCAGAAAAGGCCTGTCGCACTGTTTCCTCAGATATATGTGTTCACCCGTAACAGTGAAAACCTACTTTAAGGCGACTTGCTCTATTTTTAGACGTAGTGCACTTTGAAAGATTTTTATTTCAATGACTCCTCATTACATATCTTAAGTTCCTTGGAGGATAAATCCAGATTCTGGGTAATCTATTCTGCTTCATGAACTGTAACTTCATAGTACATTTTAATATTTAGTAAGGTTTAAACTGTGTAAATATTTTTTGTGTGAACTAGTCTAAAATACTTAATTTTTTTTTTGTTAGGTCATCATAAAAAATACACAGCAAATGTTCCTGTGCGTTTAAATGATAACCCAACTTGCTATCAAATGATTCATCTGGTTGGGGAGATAAAATTACCCACATTATTGTTTGACCCTCCAGGCGCATTTTTCACCCCTGTTCCTTTGGAGGTATTAACTATGAAGGCTATCAAGATTTTACCTCAAAATTATTACAGGTAAATGCTTAATATAGATTTACTATATTTTCTTTATGTGTTTTTTTGTTTGTAGTTGTGTTACATGAGCCATGAGCAATGTCTAACGTATTTCTATAGTTGGAACAAACTATTAAAATATTTAACTACATTTAAATTAAAAATACAAAAACCCACTTAATTACCTCACAGTCATTTAAGTTTTTTGTAAAAATGTTTGTTAATTGTGTCTTCATGGTTTAAGAAGTAAGCTTAAAAACTCAAGGTATTAGTTTTCTATTGCTGTGTGACAAATTACCACAAACTTAGTGCCCTCTAACATGAATTTGTTATCTCAGAGTTTCTTTGGGTTAGGAGTCTGGGTCAGTTTGTGCGCACTGCTCACGGCCTCATTTGGCAGAGATCAGAGGGTGGGCAGTAGCAACAGTCTCATCTTAGGCTCAGTCTTCCTTGAAGCTCCCTGGTTTTTGGGAGAATTTATCCTTGCAGTCATAGAACTAAGACACCATTTTGCTGGCAATTGACTGGGGTCACTCTCAAGTCCTAGCTATGGGGTTCCTCCTCACAATGTGGTATGTTATTCATTCAAAGCCAAAAGTAGATTATCTCTCAATGTGTGTGTCTGACCTATAACCTTTTTAAGATCTCATATGATTAACTCTAATCCACCCAAATTCATTTGACTAGGGACCTTAATTACATATGATAAGTCCCTTTATCATTGCCATATAACTTAATCACTAAAGTGATATCTCATCATATTTGCAGGTCTTGCCACCCAAGGGACAGGACTCTTGGGAGCCATCTTGGAATTCTTCCTACCTTAGGCATATACTATAGCTGAATGCAGTCAGTTTAGTTTTCATTTTTAAAGAAATGGATAGACAGCCAAAACCACAACAGTATCAATATATTGGCCTAGATACTTTATGAGCCCTCACATTATAAAATAAGTAGATCATGTGTGTGCGCGCTTAATTGCTTCTGAGAAGTATCGGAGGTCTCCAAAGGGCTCAAACTAAATCAAACCAAAAAAATATGTACTTAGAAGCTGAAAGCAGGGCAGGAGTGGTGAGCTGGAACAACATGCCACATGCAGGCTTGTTCTCCAGTCACAGGAAAACTTCAAGATAGGAAAACTTAATCTTAGATATCTTAATCTTATTAATCCAGGACCACTGGAAGAGGCTAACATTGTTCCATGTAACCTCTACCTTTCAGCAAAAGTAAGCATCTCTTCTCCAAATCGGTGGTTCTTAAATGTAAGCATATATTAAAACCACACAAAGGGCTTTTTTTAGAAAATTTCTTTATTATTGTTGACACTATTACCGATGCCCCGCATTTCACCCTCCTTGCCCCTCTCCAAGGTATGCTCAAAATTATTCATAGTCACAGTATTCAAAATAGCAAGATTTGAGAACTGCACAAACATCCTGTGACAACTGAAGGGGTAGGTAATTTATACTATATGTGTACATGAATACTTTATTGTGAAGTGGATGAACTTTGGCTAATAAGACAATTGTGTTAGGACTCTTAGAAACAAAATATTGAGATAAATTTAAAAATACAAGGAAGACTACATATATTGTTATTTTATATAAAACAAAGAAAGCCAAACTATTTATAAATATGCACCTATCTATAGATAAAAAGAGATACAAAGAGTAGCTAGTTAACATTTAAAATTGTATTAATCGTGAGGGTTTGTATACCAATGTGACTTGCTGATAAGCATTATTTTCATAAACTTCTACATTCTGTAACCCTCCCTTCCCCTGAAACCTTCTCTAGTTCAGTCCCTTATTTTATAGCTAAGCATCCTGAAATCCAGAGAAAACAAGTTCTGAGTGTGATGTAATGGTTGATAATAAATGAGAATTATTAAATGAGAACAACTTTTAGTTTCTCATGCGTCGCCTGCAAGATATAACAAAAGCTTACGTATGATGTGGAGCTTGGTCTAAATGCCACTTTTTGCGAGAATATATTTAAACTTTAACTTCATAACTTTGGGATTTGCTGTTCTTTCAAGACCCTATCTTTCAAGACCCTTGGTTGCTTAAACAGTAAATAAAAGTGTCTTAAATTATTTAGTGCTAAAAAGTATTTCTTATCTTGGAATATTGTCTCACATATGAATTAATATTTTAATCCTTCAACTTTTGGATTAATGTGCAAAGGTATCAATTTAAAAATGATCTCAAGTCAAAAGTTGAGTCTTGCAAAATAAGGTATAATGAGCATTTAAAATGGACTGTAGAGATGAAATTACTCAGTCTTCTCATGTGTACAACAATATCAACAACATTAATGACTTATCCAATGACAGATAATTAATGACAGGATTGTATTCAAACCTGATTTATAAATTACTTTTTTAGGTTTTATCCAGTGAACCATACTGGTTTAACTAATTCAAGTTGATCTCTTTCTTTGCTTTTTCTATTAGCTGAATAATCCTTATTCTAACTAAAATATTATGGAATTATTATTCTCATTTGATAGCACTTCTTATTTGCTATAGGAGCCTATACATATAATAAAATAAAACAAATATGGTTAAATATTTATAGACCACTAAAAGTTATAAAATATTAATTAGATCTAAAAGTGAGTATTACATACTATATTATTCAAAATTACAAACATTTTTGATTAGCTGGATATTTTAAAGATATACAGTGAAATATGTGAATACTAAGTGAAATTTTTTAGTATGATGATTGATATATAGTGCTTAAGAATATCCATATTTAAAAATAAATTATGTGTATATTCATTTGTGAAAATTATTTAGTTTACATGTGATAAAGCTCTAGTTAGTAAATTTTTGTCAGGATATATTTAAGAGCAGTACAATTTATATCATGGCTGTGATTTAAAACACATTTTACTTAATCAGGTGTTTTAACCATTTTTTTAATCCTTAGAAGGCAAAAGGAACTTTCGATCATCTTATGTGGTTTTTCATTAAATTAAATATATTATCAGTCTTATATTGTGACCAGAAAATAAGAGATGATACTAAAATATCTTTAATTATCGGGCATGTAATTATAAATATTTGTTGTTTTAATTTTTCTAATAATCAAAAAAAAAGGAAAACATTTAAAGTCATTTACTTGCACCCATTGAGCTAAAATTTTTTGTTTTTAAATTTTCAGCAGAGATGCAACTTTAAGTGTCCTGATTCCCCCAGCAAAGTTTGATGATGACGATGAAGGTGAGGAGGAAGAGGAGAAGGAGAGGCTTCAGCCGCTTTCTGTGCAGTTTCCCAAAGGCACTACCATCAAAGCCTCTCCCAGCGGAATCAGCACTGAGATCATTTGCTACCTTAGCTTCCTGTCACGTAAACCTGTGTCGTTTATCACCAGTATTGTTTTCTGTGACAACAGAGGTAACGGGTAAGACATTTAATTGCAGATTCTTTTGTTTCTTGACAGCGAAGAAGAAATGGGTTGTATTACTGTACACTATTGTAAAATGTTAAAGGAGAGACATCTAAAATAATAACTTTGGACATAAAGATATTTTAGAAGTTCCCAATGCAACGTTGTTCTCATTAGAAATATCATAATAGTGGTCACCAGCTTCATATCTGGAACTAGGCTCCATGGATGTGAATCCTGGCTTTGTTAACTTTGGTGAAGTTACGGAATCTCTGTGGCTCTCAGTTTCTTCATCTATAAAATGGGGATAGCCGATCTCATCTGTAATTGTGAGAAATTCATTGTGTTAGTAATGAAGTACTAATGGAGTAATGAAGTACTTATGGAGTAATTGTCAGGAATTGGCACAAAGGAAATGCTAAATAAATATTAAATGAACCTGAGAAACATCAGCATAATGAGTTTCTAAAATATGATTGTTACATGTTGTTTTAATGGGCTCAGAAAAATTCAAATGCAACTTGGTGAAAACACGTTTTTGAATTTCTTACCTTTGAGGATCAGAAATCCCACTTTTACATTATACCTTGAGATGATTTGACTTACCAGGTGATAAGAGGCTAATGTGTACAGCAATAACGTTTGTTAAAAATGCTTATACTGAGAAGTAGTATTAGAGTGAATTTTACACTAAATTAGTGTATGTTTACTCTATGTAGACAATTTATTAACTTTTAGTGGGATTACTCTATTATATAGTATATTAGTATAGTATTATATAGCATTATTCTAATATATTGTATACTATATAATATTGTATATTATAGTATATATTACTATATTACATAATACATAGTGCATTCATTCCTAATCAGAGGATTGATTGATGTGTTAGGGGTTAGAAGGGAGCGAAACAGATGTTGTATCCAAGGTGAAGTATGGCTGTATCCAGAACACAGTTCATGGAGTTCTGAAATTCCAGCTTCCAGGTCTCTTTCTTGTATACACTGATAAATAAAATCTCAGTTACACCTCTTAGATGTCCATTATTCTCTTTTGATGGTAGTAGTCCATCTTTTGTTGACATTAAAAAAAATAATGGCATTGCGTTAGGGTCTTATCAAGCACTGAACTCTGTGACTCTGCATTAGGAAGCATTGTGTCTTTTTGTACATTACTGACCTTGCTCACAAAAGTTTAGCTTCACTTTGCTCTAGTCCTTAAATTCATACTTCGCCCAAAGCAATACATAAGGTGTACATTGGAGCTCACCAATATGAGTCCATGAATGTCTTTAAACTGACAGAGACTTGGACTACATTAACAGGGTGGGAAGGAAATAGTTGCACTAAATGTTGTGTGAGCTAGATGGCTTCTGAAATGAAGGTGTAACTGCTTCTCTGAGGGGCATTACCAGACTTCACTGTGCCAATGTCTGCAGGTCTGGTCAGCAAACGGGATGGTATAGAGACCTGAAAACAGTCTCTAAGAGGAGGAGGGTTCTACATTTGATGATTTTCTTGTCTTTGTCATTTTATGTTTACTTTTAGCCATGAGAATTGTTTACTCTCTACCTGAATTCCTCGCTGCCCCCCGCACCCCCGCCATTTTACCTCACTTTCCACTAAGCTTCTTTTCAACCCTCAGCAGGTTTAGGATAAAGTACAGCTATTGGAACTAATTTAGAGACTTCGAAAATCATTGATGGGTTACAAAAGCTGTCCCGTGCAGCTAGACGAAAAAGGTAACAGGTCATGAGTACTCTCTGGAACCACAATACTGGCAAATTCTTTCACTGCTGCCTTGTTAGCTGCTTACCTAGTTTTCTGTAGTGTGTGTAATCAGATCTTCCTTCTCTCAACTGCCCAAAACTGTTTTTGCCTTTCTCTTTCTAGGCATTCCACTTCTGATCCCCTCGAGATAAAGAGGTCTTTTGGCAAGAAATTCCTCAAGAGCTTCCTTTTCACCTCGGAAGTTCTTTTTGGAGTCAGCTGGACTCTGTCATTGTTTTTCATCTGTTTGCATTTAGTGTGGGTAGTCCTTGTGGGCTCTGCCCAAGATTTTGAGAAAGGGGCTCTTCTTTGATGGAAGTCAGCGTAGTAGGGAAGGTAGACTTTAAGCAAATTTTTTATATACTCGTCAGTGCCAATAGAACAAATACAAAATGCAACACAAAAGGAATTGGTGATAATGTCCTGAGTGGTGGGGGAATCTAAGATGGCTGCATAGGCTTCTGAGTAAACTCTCAAAGGACAAATGGCGCTTGCCAGTATTTATCCTAAATTGACGCCATTTTTTTTTTTGGCATCTTGTTTGTCCGTATGGAAGTGCATGGGTTCAGTAAAAAATAAAACACTCATTCCTTCTTGCTTTGCCTTCTTTTTTTAATATATAAGAGCATTTCATACTGTGGTTCCCCTTGGGTGCTTGGCTTTTAATTTTGTTTCCATCTGTAGACTTTGTCATATTTGGATTGTCTGTACTGGCCCAAGACTAAATTATAGCCACTAAGGTACCTGCTAGTATGTCTGCTGACATTGATAATGGTCCCCTCCACACTCATGTGCCCTCAGCTCAGAGGTTGCACACCCTGCTTGTCGTATCCCCAAATTCCCCAAAAATCTGGGGATGGAGGTTGTATGTTTCTGTGGGAGGGCCGATGATGTGGGCAGATTATTACAAATGGTGAAAAAAATACACTAGGTCTGGAGGCTGAAGGAGGCTCATGTTTGCAAAATATTTTTGGTGTTCTCAGTTTGATGGTTACTGACAGGGCAGAAATGAGAGGTGATGCTGAAAGGGCAGCAGTAGCAGATGGTGAAGGTCTTGCACGCTCTGCTTTGGTGTCCATGAGTGAGGCAAAGGAGGAGGACCAGGACTGATTATGGAAATCATTGCTTGGATAAACACAGGAAACAGGAGGTCGACAGCCATTAATTAACACAAGTCAGGTCCTTGGTTCTAGTCTTGGTATCATGGAATCCACACAACAGCCTGGAAGGTAGATGTTTATAGATCTCCATCTCTGTTTTATAAAAGAGGAATCTAAGGCCCGTAGTGCGATATAGCTTGTCCAAGTCCACTCAGAGATGTGAAGTGGAGGAGCCAGGAGTTTGAACTGAATTTTTGTTTCCAAAGATTATTTATACGGTCACTTTGTTTTAACACCACTTAGATTTGTTTAGAATCATTTGGGATTATTTATTGTAGGTACACTTTCTTGAGAGTAACACTGTCATATGTCATGTACAAACTTTCCAAAGAACAGGAAGAAGATGGTATATTCTCCTCTTCTCCTGATCCTTTGCATGTCTGTCTGTCGTTCTCTCAGCACACATACACACACACACTAATGAAGATTCCATGTTTGCTTTATAGTAATGATAATAATTAAAGTCTACCCAATAAAAACTGGAATATTATTTATTTATTTATCGACATATTAATTTACTGGTGAGGCAAACACTCAAGTTATCTCCATGGTTACAACATAAATAAGTGAATGTTTGTGGTTTCACTAAAAGAGCCTGTGTTGCAACTACTACCAGTCAAATCTACAGAAGATTTTTACTTAAAAATAAATTTATTATATATGGGTACTTATGAGATATCATGCAACTCATTTCGATGTTTTCTGCAGAAGGCTTTAAATCAATGTATTAAATCAAAATCTAGTATTAAAACAACTGCTAAAATGCTTCCTCAAAATAATACATTCCACATCAGTAAAATTTCAAAGTAGACAATGCATATTATAAGAATCGAAATGTTCTCTTTTCCTACAAAAAATTAAAGAAATGTGCTTATTACTGAAACAAAATATATCTCAACTTAGAAGTTTATGGTTTTATGAAGGATTTTTTTTCTGTTTATGAAATAGTTTAAATGATATTAAGAATGGTTTTTGAGGGAAGCAAGGAATACAATAATAAAATTCAATTCCTGTTATTGCTGCTTTACGAGCCAACCTCTGCTCTAGGTTAAATTATTATTTTATGTCCTCATCAATTCAGCTTTTTTCTTTCTGACCTCTCTTATTTTTACTTTTGACATATGAGGTAACAATGTAGGAGGAGGAATTCAGTTGTCATGCTGGTGAGATTGCTTTGGGTAATCTCCAAATCATTTATATTGTGTTTCAGAGTTGATACTTGTTTTTATGTTTACAAATGCATATTATCTGGGAATTCACGCAGAGATCAAATAGATTAGGAGTTGCCAGAATGTTGTAATCCCCTATTTTGCATCATGGTTTCCACTCTAGGTTGAGGAGAAGAAAATATATCCTGAAGGAACCTGTAATTATGAGAATGAAGTCTTGCCACTTGCTCTTGCTTTATGTTCACTGTCTGACTGATACTTTCCCTAGGCCTTGCAAAAATGGAAGTTATGGTTCTGGGTGATTAATATCATAGAATTGCTAAGAATGCCAAAGACAGCCTAATGATTTCCTGTTATGAGCTCCACACATAGGGTATTTCCTTTTGTAAAATAAAGTTGATCTCCACTGCATGTTTAAGGTGACCAGGAGGTTGAGTTAGCATTGCCTCCTTGCTAAAACCACAAACACAAATTGAGAGTTCCTAATTAGAAATGCGTTATGTCCAAAGCTCAGATCCTACATATATTTTTTCATTCTCACAAATGTTTAACATGTATCCGTTATACACAAAACTGACTATATATTACCTAGGTTTTTAGTAGACAAATTTAATTTGAATAATTTTAGAGCAAATGAAAAAAAATCAGCTGTTTTATAAGAGAGCTAACGTGAGTAATTGAGAATTAAAATTTAGGCCAAATGACAGAAATCCAAATGACTTATTTATCAAATAGGTATGGGGTGCTGCTACTCAGATATCAGCTGCTTTTTCCTTTAGAGCTGTGGTTCTAATGGATGGATACCGAAATGAACTTGGGGAGTTTTAAAAAATACACGTGCCTTGGTCCCATCCATAGAATAGGATATAACTTGTCTGTAGGGTGACCTAGGCATTGCAAATTTTGAAAGCTCC